CCACTTAAGTATACACTTTAAGTGGGTTAACTGTATGGTATATGAATCATCTCAATAAAGCTGTTTTTAAATATTAGCGTAAGTCATTTCTATATAAGGCATTAAGCCTTCCTCTTTCAGAATCTGCAGGCAACTTTTCTAATGTCATTTGCCATTTACTTTCTCATATTCAGAAGATACATATTTTTAGTTACATCTATAATCTGCTACTTAATGAATCCTCCCATTACTTTTATTTGGAAACTCTGTCATATCCAAAGATAGTCGCTAATATGGTCTTCTAGCTTATTTTCATGTTTCATCTGGATTTTCGTGTACATTATAAAGCTATAATCTAGTATTCTACAAAGGTTTACCTTCCTTATGTTCCCAGGATTTGGGGAATATTTTATTTATATATCTAGGCTACTACTGCATTGGTCTGAGAGTTTAAATGTAAACCATTAGAATATTTTCAATATTTTTTAGTGGTGAAATATGCCCTAGCTAGTATTTCAAGATTTCATTGCTTTCAAAATATTCCTATTCTTGCACATCTTCCAGATGAAATTTATTTATTTATTTACCTATTTATTTATTTATTTATTTATTTATTTTGGGATGGGAGTTTCGCTCTTGTTACCCAGGCTGGAGTGCAATGGCATGATCTCGGCTCGCCGCAACCTCCGCCTCCTGGGTTCAGGCAATTCTCCTGCCTCAGCCTCCCGAGTACCTGGGACTACAGGTGCACGCCACCACGCCCAGCTAATTTTTGTATTTTTAGTAGAGCCGGGTTTCACCTTGTTGACCAGGATGGTCTCGATCTCTTGACCTCGTGATGCACCCACCTCAGCCTCCCAAACCAGATGCAATTTAGAATAACACTATCAAGCCACTGAAAGCATTATTAGACTTGCTTTCAATTAATTCACAAATAGAAGAAACGTTTAAAATATTTCATTTTATCAGCTAGGAGCAGTAAATAACAGAACACCATACAGGTCTTCTGTTATCTTCGTTCTTGCACAAATACTCAGTGTGTCTATAAATTTGACAAAGCCTGTTGGATATCTAGAGGTTTTTGCTAATTTTACATCAATTTTAAGTGAGATTCCTGGGCTTTCTACTTGGACCATTATATTACCTGCAATAATAGCAATAGTTTTTTCTTTCCCAATAGTAATTGATTTCTAGTTTGGGTCTTACTGCACGAAAAAAATTAAATCAATATTCTGATGACAAGCCCTGAAAACATTAAAGCACGTATTAAAAACAAAATTGTAAAGGATATGTAAAGCTCTCAAGCTTTAGAGAAAAATCTGAAATTCATCAATTTTGCAACTTTCTAGAATCTGTTTCACCTAATTTAGGGCTAAAGAGCACCCCGAAGTGTTTAATAGATCTGGTGTGACATTATTCGGAGCAGGTACTCAATTTTGGGGTCATGGGTCCCTTTTCCCTCAGCTGTGCCCATCACATTCAAACCACAGCAGGTGACAGTTCCTATTAATCTTTGCTACTGACTGGAAAACTGTTCTTTTTCCTCAGCAGACACAGCAGAAGTGTCTAATGTCATAGAATGCAATACTGGCCATTCAATTACATGCTTCTAAAGCCCCCCAAATAATCTTTTTGCATGCTCCGTGTTAGTTTGTTTTTGACATCCTCTCTTCCCCTCTGGCATTTGTAACCTGAGAATGAATCTTATTTCAAATCACTACTTGCACACACTCATTTGTTACAAAGTACATCGACTACCAAATTTAACATTTGAGTGCTGGTTGCTAACAAAGAAAGGAGTAAAAAACGTATGCAGACAAGGCATTAGTTTCTGAATAGCTGATTTTAATGGTGATATGACTGATTCTAACTGCATTCCATCTCGCTCACATTCAAAGGAGTAACTCTTACGGTGACCATGTTAATCATGAAATGGTATTGCATTTATTTTAAACTGGTGGTCCCCAACTTACTTAAAAATCATAAGAGGTTTAACTTAGAATTTTCAGCTTTACCACAGTGCACAAGTGATATGCTTTCGAGTATCCATACATTGTTTTTCACTTTCAGAACAGTATTCAATAAATAACATGAGCTGTTCCACACTTTAGTATAAAATAGGCTTTGTGTTAAAGGGTTTTGCCCAACTGCAAGCTAAATGTTCTGAGAACATTTAAGGCAGGCTAGGCTAAGTTATGATTTCAGGTTAGAGATATTAAATGCATTTTCAATATGATATTTTCAAATTATAATGAGTTTACCGGGACCTAGCCACATCATAAGCTGAGGAGCGTCCGTATTTAACATAATGAGAAATTATTTTTATTTTTCTAAATGACTGAAAAAGTCCAATTCAATCGACACTACAGAGGAAACGAACCGAAACACGGCCTCTTCCTACCCAAATCACTGGAAGAGAAAATCTAGTTATATTTAAGTGAACTGTACTTAATAAATGACACAAATATATGTTTAGAAACAAATGCTCCACATTTTCAAGGGTGAGTGACTGTTTACCAAGATCTGGGAAGAACTTCAGTAACTGCCTGTAAAATAGGGAACAATTTTTATTAACTCTTGTCCTTAGTCAAGAAATACGTAAATCTTGATGAATACTCATTAGCTAGAATTCTTCCATCACAAAATTTTTGTTCACATATGTTTAAGGACTTTTTGTTTATGTTTTTTTGGAGACAGTTTCACTGTCACCCAGGGTGGAGTGCAGTGGTACGATCTCAGCTCACAGCAACTTCCACCTCCTGAGCTCAAGCGATTCTCCTGCCTCCGCTTCTTGGGTAACTGGGATTACAGGCACATGCCTGGCTAATTTTTTTTTTTTTTTTTTTGTAATTTCAGTAGAGATGGGGTTTCGTTATGCTGGCCAGGCTGGTCTTGAAATCCTGAACCCAAACAATCCCCCACCTCAGCCTCCCAAAGTGCTAAGATTACAGGTATGAGCCACCATGCCCACCCTTGTTTGACTTCTAATTTGTGAATGTGATTTCTCAGATTTCTCTATAAAACACCTTCAATGACAGTAAAATAAATTAGTGTTTAATAATTACTATAAAGTAACTTAGATAATTTCTATGTTTCTCACAAATCACTTGGGTTTTGCTTCTTCTGCATGTATCACAGGCTTCCTTTTCAAACTATCATTTTGGTTCTTTAAATTTCTTCTCACAGCATCATAAGTTTCATTTGCTGTAAATTATTCTAAAAAGTTTAAAAGTGAGATATTTTGAGCCCCGATGAACGGATCGTATATAATCTCTGCCACAGGTATTAGGTATAGTGTTCGAACACTTTTTAACAAGTGTCATTCTAGAAAGATGTGATACCACAGCTACATAGAGGATAGTAGGTCTACAGTTTTAATGTGAGGCTTGGGGAAATAGACTCTAAAATCCTATTTTTACATTTATGATGAAGAAGAAAACCCTCAAAACCTGCCAACTTAAGTATAAATCAGATGCAGTCACACTGTAATAAATATGCTGAGATAAATAACTTTATATATTTGTAATTTTTTAAAAATTTGATTTCCAATTTTGCTAAATTCAAAAATACATACAACTTAAAGCAAATAGGTAACAATGTTAACACCAGGTGAGGGTTATATGGTGTTCGTTCTACTACTGTTTTACTTTTGATGTAGATCAGCAATTTTTCAAAATAAAAAATGAAAAATGTTTATAAGACAAAGTGTGTGTCACTGAGTATCACTAGTTTTAGAGTTAAAAAGTGCCCTATCTTCTAAGTGAAAAACTTTTCTGCTAAAAGAAGCATGGAAGAAATATTTGACATGCATTAAAGGAAAAAACTGGTTTAGAAGCCAATAAAGAGAGAACACAGTGCACATACTGCCCTCGTCAATATCATCTCTTGAGTTTTCAAAACAAACATGTTCCTCCTGCTCCAACACAAACTCCCATGCTAATCGTGCCAAAACACAGCGATCCACCAACTTCCACGTTTACAAATAATCAAGTTTAAAAACATCTCTCGATAAATGAAAATGTTTTCTGACTTTGAGGAAGAAAAAAGGGTTTCTCAGTTGAATGCCTTAAAACTGTCTAATACTCTGAATTGCTCATGTACCATTTAATTTGGCTGTGTTTTAAAAATATAGCACGTAGTTTTCATTCTTGTTTGAAGTCTAACGCCAAAGGACAAGGCCTCACAGTTGCCTGGTAGCTTGTTGGTTGAACAGTATCAACACAGCAAAATTGCAAGACTTTCTTTTTAAGATTTGAATTTACTTTTTGAGATGTGAGACAGCATTACAGCATCCCCAAATCATCCGGCTTATGATGAAAATGAAGAGAGTAAAAATCGTATGCTGTGAATGATACCAACGACAACAACAATCTGTCCCAAACCTAAGCTTCCCTTCCCAGGTCTTCCGGCAGGTCACACAGAATGACTGCACACTTCTTTCCTCCTCACCGAAGGCTGAGAAAGGAGAAAACTTACAACTCAGGGGCAGATACTGGGAAGACCCAAGGACAGGGCCAGGTCCGTTTAAATGGAGACACAGGTGACATTAGGATGAAACAATCCTGGGAGGTGGGACACAGTGAATTTAATGAACAACAGCCTTGATTTTGAGAATAGGGTCAATTGCTGGTTTTTAAACTCATTATGGGCATCGAAAATTGTTTAAATAAACTCTTCCCCCCCCCCCCCCACTTCACGGCCCCTCAAACCTGTATCACCCTCTCTTAGTTCTCTGCACTAATTACTGGCAGTCAGATGGCACAGACAATAATTTAGGGTCCAGTGAAAGTAACACAGCTTGATAGCAGAGTCTTGGGAGACTGAGGAAAGGAAGATACAGGCAAATCTCTAGAAAAATTGAGTGTTTCTCTTTGTAGAAGCTATAATAATAATTTTTTTAAAGGTGCCTTAACTTTGCTAATAACCTAAGATGATTTGCGGAAATTCACTAAACTAGATATTGTTATTTTTTGGTTTTTAAAAGTGTGCATTGTTGCAAGCAAAAATAACACAAAACAATGTTAAATCAAGCCCATTTTAAGCTCCCTGAGATGACATACAGAGACACACTACACAGTACAGTATTAGAGCAGAAAATAATTTACAAAAATCATTTAGAGTAAAATCAAATTTCTATTTCAACAAATATATCATCAGATTAATTGTATCTTTATCTGTTGCTACACATTTATTCATACCAGAAAAATTGTCACATTTAAAATTCTCAAAATAGTTTTGGCACAGGTCACATCCTCTCATTTTGCTAAATCCCTGAGTGCATTGAACAGGCTGACCCTATGCATCGGGCGCTTCCCCAGACACCCTGGTCCTCTCCCCAGAATGCCTTGCTACCTGCTCTGGCCTCAAGGCTACTTTTACTCTTCCCACCATTAACTCTAGATGAACATTGAATGCTATCACCTTTCTAGCCAGTGGTGCTCTGCAGAAACCATGCAGCATCTCTGACGAGAAGACCTAGAGTCCCCGCTCCAAAAAGGACCTCACACCATCTTCTCGACGCTTACTGACAGGGAAGGGGAACCAGAAAAGGGTACATTTTGTGTATCCTTCCTATTATTCATAAAATTGCCTGTAATGGTCAGTGTTTTAATGTCTCCAAAGCTTTATGTCTCAGATGCTCATCCAAACACTGGATGGCAAAGAGGTCAACATCCACGTCAAACTTATTGGCAAACAGGTGGTGCTTGCGCAGCATCCAGTTCAAGTCGCCAGCTCCGAAAACGCACACCGAGCGCACGTGCACCCCGTCGCAGGGTGGGTAGGGAGCACCCCTGAAAACATCACCCTCAAAGTACTGCCACTTGACAAACCTGGCAACCGCCTGCATGTCAGACAAATCGTACTTATGGCTAGCAGAGAGTGAGCCCGGGACTTCAGGAATCCTCTGGATGGTAGCCCAGAGATACTCATCAGGGCTATATGTGTCTTGCGCCCATTCCATAAACTTTTGGATTTTTTCATTCTGTAGTACATACCCCACATACTCCCTACTGACCACAAAGTAGGCACTGCCAGAAAAAAGGGGTGTTTCCAGCGGAGGAAGCATTTTGACAGTCCCTGTGTTTGTCAACTTTCCATTAATGACCTCATACCGCTTTTTCCACCTTTCTTCCTTATTGGATGGCATCCTCTCCGTTTCCAGGTTGTTTTCTCCCATCAACAACTTGAGCTTCCTGACAATTTCCAGGTTGGTTTTAATAGGAAAATCCATCCCACAAAGATTGATCAGGTACTTCCAATTTGCCCTCATTGCGTAGAGGTCCTTCATGCAGTTGAGGTCAGCCTGAACCCGGCTCCACGATGCATAAACCACACTCTCCAATCGGCTGGCCACGAAGACATTACTGAAACAGGAAGCAATGCCCATCACTGCAGCTAAATAGGAATCCTCGGATTTCCTGTCCACATGAATGCAATAGAAATTCTGAGGCATATAGATGGCCCTCAGTAGCCTGTCAAGCATTTCGATCTTGTGATGAACCACGATAGAATACGCTATTGGAAACTCTGCCTCTTCTTTACTAAGGGGCTCTACAATATATTTGCGCCTCTTGATGAAAGAATTACAGTCACTGGTCATGTTTATATAGTCATCAGGTGTCCACCGAGGGCGCTTTTTAAATTTCACTGTTAGGATCTCAAGCTTTACCTTTTGGATTTCATTTACATCACCCTGTAAAACTTTGGTGCAATTAATATCACTACTAGGATTCTCCCCAGCAAGCTCCAAGTGTCTGACACTTACAAATTCAGGCTTCTGATGAATCCTTAAGACTGAGAAGGTGATTAGGGAAAAAGCAAGAACCACAAAGTAGCATTTAGTGGGATAAGAAAAAAGTCTCCTTCGCAGCAACTTCCTCAGCATTTCAAACAACAATCAGGGATTTCCTTTGTGAAGAGCAGTCTTCTACGCTCCAAGCACCAATGGTTTTTCCTCTGTTGTGGCCTTGAATGTTGTCAGTTTGCATGTATCAGAACTGCAATGGCATCTTGAAATGAAGAACATCACTGAAAAAAAAGCAATTATATATATAGATATATATATAGAGAGAGCAATTATATACAAATTATATATATATATATACACATGTATATATATGTATGTGTATATATATATATATATATATATATATAGAGAGAGAGAGAGAGAGAGAGAGAGAGAGAGAGAGTCTTTCACAATAAATCTTTTCAGGCTCAAAAACTGTCCTCTTTGCTATGGGGTTAGGTTCAAAACAAAAACAAGGTGACTTAATCACAGGAAAAGTGGCAGTAGTATGGGAGACCCAGTCTCTAGTATTTATGCCACAGATTGAAAAAGAAAAACAAACCCCAAAGCCCAGTACATGGATGCACTAGAATACCTTACAACAAGCATTTTACCTCTGTGGTGTGCTGAGGTGCAAAACCGTATTTGGAGGCCTAGGCAATAATGATTGAACAGTCCATAGCTGGTGAGTTCCTGACACCGTGCCAGTTCTAAGAATTAGCGCCCCTTTTCTTGAAATCATTAGTAATTTAAGTTCCTCCTGACATCTTTTAATGTCCATTAGCTGATGTCAGCAGCCCTAAAGATTTGAAGAGATCAGATCCATTCTGCTTTTTGCTGATTTAGGATTTGGGGCACACTTAGGGAGAAGTTCAGAAATGGTTGTGACTTTTAAGAATCTTTGAAGGAAGGGCAAGTCATGGAATTTTCAAACTGGATTAGAAAGGCTCAGCTGAAACTAGGCCCAATCTGGGACTGTGTGGGGTTGGCCCCACAAGGAGTTAGGTCCATGCCAGACACTAAAATATTCATAATCCAAAAGAGAGATACAGCTTGTGTTTTCTGCACTCGTTATAACAGGCTGTAATAACTGAGTCTTGCAGAAAACAATAGTGTATACAAATTGTAATTTATGACAGACCTTTTGTCTACATTCATATTCCAGGACTACACGTCACTTTTACTAACTAAAATGTTTACAAACATGTAAATAGTTTTGTTTTCAAAAATCAATTTTATAACTTGGCAATTGGTTCTACAGCTGATATGCGCGGCTGTTCTAAAAAAAAGTCAAATACTATCAATTTGACTGTTACAAATCTGTTCATAACAAGAATTCTAGAGATTTGACACTAGTTTTTAACACCAGAAACTTAACTATTTCATTAGGAAATGAGTTGTGAATAGTAATAATACAAATAAAAATGAGTAACTGACCATCATTAATATAAAATAATGTTAAGAAAAGTATTTAGTCTTTTTACCAATATAGTATTCACACACTCAGAACATACGTTGTTGAACTAATCCTAAGTATTTACTTTTTTTCTCAAAATTATGGCTGGTTAACTTTTCTCTTTTAAAATTTCCTTCTCTCTAATCTTATTTTTCTAATTCTATGTTTGTGGATGGCTAAATATTTGAAAACATCTTAAAATTCAGGTTAAGCTCTTTGAAAGAAAACTCTAGCAGCATTTCCCTTAACGTATACCAAGGAACAGTTTAACGGTCCAGTATGAAAAATCCAGTGTATCCTTTCCTCCTCTGTGAAGATTCCCAATGCTCACTGGCAAATTCATGACAATTCTGCAGCTTAATTTGTTGCTCATCTCATTTTCTCCTAACAATCTTGATCACCACCCCACTCCGCATCTCTATCAGAAAGTAACCACAGAGAGATTCTGAAACATCACATAAGAATTTCAACCATTAAAACACCAAAACACTACAAAAAAATAGGACTGCAAGTACTTCCTGCCCCTTACTGGTTCAAGGCATTTAGGGAAATCTCTATGGAATTATTGGCAGACCACTAAGTTACCTGAGAGAAACTTGAGTGGGTCTCACATAAAAAAGAATATAAACTTTAAACAACTGGTCCAGGAAAGCCACTAAACAAACAAACAACAAAACAACAAGTACTGGTCAGGGTAGGGGTAGAGGTCTGATTTCCATGGCTGACACGCTATAAGCTATCCAGTTTCAACAAAAAAATTACAAGGCATGCAAAGAAACACAAAAGTCTGGTCCACATACAGGAACAAAAAAAAAAAGTTGTCAACAAAAATGTCCCCAAGGAAGCCCAGGCACTGGATTTAACAAATGCTTGAAATCAGCTCTTACAAATATGTTCAAAGAACTAAATAACTAAAAGAAAGTATGAGAATGGTCTCCAACCAATTGAGAATTTCAATAAAATAATAGAATGTACAACAAAAAATGTGAACCCTTAATAATAATGTATATAACAAGTATGGGGAATTAGAAAATAGTTGAAAAAAAAAGTATGAATAATAATAATGTCTAAATATTGGTTGAGAATTTCAATAAAATAAAAGAATGTACAACAAAAAATGTGAACCCTTAATAATAATAATGTATATAACAAGTATGGGGAATTAGAAAATAGTTGAAAAAAAAGTATGAACAATAATAATGTCTAAATATTGGTTTAATTGTAAAAAATGTGCCATACTAATGCAAGATATTAATAACAACAGAAACACTGAGGGCATAAATGGAAACTCTGTATTTCCTGTGTAACTTTTCTGTAAACATAAAACTGCTCTAAAAATAGTCTATTAATAGTGAAACGAAAATTAATTTGCACATCCAAGAAGTTCAATGAGCTCCAAAGAAGATAAACTCAGATATCCTCACTTAAACACTTCATAATCAAACTGTTGAAAGACAAGGACAAAAGCTTTTGAAAATGGTAAAGAAAAGTGATTATACAATAAATCCTGAAAATAATGAACAACTTCAAATAAAAAGCAGTGGTGACCAGGAGGTAGTGAATGACATATTGAATGTGTAGAAAGAAGGACTGTTGGCTGGGTGTGGTGGCTCATGCCTGTAATTCCAGTACTGGGAGGCTGAGGCGGGCAGATTACTTGAGGCCAGGAGTTTGAGCCCAGCCTGGCCAATATGGTGAAACCCCATCTCTACTAAAAATACAGAAATTAGCTGGGCATGGTGGCTCATGCCTGTAATTAATCCCAGCTACTCGGGAGGCAGAGGCCAGAGAATCGCTTGAACCTGGACAGTGGAGGTTGTAGTGAGCCAAGATTATGCCACTGCACTTCAGCCTGGGCAACAGAGCAAGACTCCGTCTTAAAAAAAAAAAAAAAAAAAAAAAAAAGGATTGTTAATCAAAAATTCTATAATGAGCAAAATCATTCAAAAACAATGAGAAACTAGGATATTCCCAGATAAATAAAAACAAATAAAATGTATTACTAGCAGACTTACCCTACACAAAATACTAAATGAAGATCTTCAAGCAGAAATGAAAGATTGTAGACATCAACTCAAATCCACATAAAAACATAGAAAGCAGTAGTAAAGGTATATATATACATACATACATACATACATATATATGTGTATATATATAGATAAATTTATACTATAAATCTAATTTTCTGTGTAACTCTTCCTATTTGATTTAAAAGAGAGCTACATAAATTAATGATGTTAAAACTGTTGACAGGCTTATAATGTATTTTTCTTTTTTTTTTTGAGACAGAGTTTTGCTCTTGTTGCCCACACTGGAAGGCATTGGTGTGATCTGGGCTCACTGCAACCTCTGCGTCCCAGGTTCAAGCGATTCTCTTGCCTCAGCCTTCCGAGTACCTGGGATTACTGGCGCCCTCCATCACACCTGGCTAATTTTTGTATTTTTAGTAGAGATGGGGTTTGATCATGTTGACTAGGCTGGTCTGGAACCCCTGACTTCAGGTGATCCGCCTGCCTTGGTCTCCTAAAGTGCTGGGATTATAGATGTGAGCCACTGCGCCTGGCCCTCATGTATTTTTTATCTCGTTGCAAAATCATACTAAATTGCTGGTAGAAATGTAAATGCTTCATCAAGCTGCTTTAGAATGCTTGGTAGATCCACAGAAAGTTAAAACTAGAGTTACCATATGACCTAGTTGTTCCATTATTAGGTATATACCAAAGAGAAATGAAAACATACATCCATGCAAAAATTTGTATACAAATGTTCATAATAGCATTATTAATAGCTAAAAAAAGTGAAAGCAAGCCAAATGACCATGAACTGAAGAATGGATAAACAAAATGTAGTTTATCCATAAAATGGGATATTATATGGCTATAATAAGAAATGAAGGTCTCACAAATGTTCCATACAATGTAGATGAAGAACCTAGAAAACATTATGCTAATTTAAGGAACAGTCATTTACTATATAGTTCCATTTATATTAACTATCCAGAAAAAGCAAATCCATGTAGACAGAATGCAGATGAGTGTCTGCAGGGACTGGGGACATGGGGGAATGGGAATGACTGCTGGTAGGTACAAAGGTTTCCTTTGAACATTCTCTAAGTAGACAGTGGAGACTGATGTACAACTTTGTGAACATTAAGAGATTGTAAGCTATAAATTATGACACCACTGAGTTTGGGGGTTTTTTTCTAATAGGAGAAGTAGAATTATCGTAAATAGAATTTTACAGAATGTAGGTACATGAGAGCCACCCCAAAATCCATATAGAAAATACAAAGTTCAAAACCAAACACTTGGACCTCACCTCAAAAAAGGCATAGATCTTTACCACTGTCATCTATATCCTAAACAACCAACATGCTTTGAAAAATCCTTCTTACAAAGCAAAATCACTAGCTTTGGGTTTTAACAAGATGGGTAAGTGTCAATAAAAGAGGTAAATATACAAGGAAACACATCCATTTTATTTTATTTTATTTTATTTTATTTTATTTTATTTTTTTGAGACGGAGTTTCACTCTTGTTACCCAGGCTGGAGTGCAATGGCGCGATCTCGGCTCACCGCAACCTCCGCCTCCTGGGTTCAGGCAATTCTCCTGCCTCAGCCTCCTGAGTAGCTGGGATTACAGGCACGCGCCACCATGCCCAGCTAATTTTTTGTATTTTTAGTAGAGACGGGGTTTCACCATGTTGACCAGGATGGTCTCGATCTCTCGACCTCGTGATCCACCCGCCTCGGCCTCCCAAAGTGCTGGGATTACAGGCTTGA